CGAGGGGGCCGCTCCGGGGTAACGGGAGTCTGCACCGCGCTTCACCCGCCCCGCCGTGTCCCCGCAGCACCGGCGGAGCGGGCGGCGGCGCGATGGCCTCCAGCAGCGGCACCGACGTGATCCAGGTCACCAACGTCTCGCCCAGCGCCAGCTCGGAGCAGATGCGGACCCTCTTCGGCTTCCTGGGCAAGATCGAGGAGCTGCGCCTCTTTCCCCCGGAGTGAGTGCAGCCCGGGCCCTCTGTCCCCCCCCCCCCCCCCCCCCCCCCCCCCCCCCCCCCCCCCCCCCCCCCCCCCCCCCCCCCCCCCCCCCCCCCCCCCCCGCGCCCTCCCCGCGGCCCAGCGCCGCCTCCGCCCGCCTGCGCCGCCCAGCCCGGCCCGGGCCGCCCCCGCTCCTGGCGGATCCCGGGGAAGCTCGGGCCGGGTCGCCACCGCTCCCGCCCCTGGGCATCCCGGGGGATCCCTTCTCGGGCCGTTGCCGCTCCCGAGGGATCTCGGCGGATCCCAGCCCGTCTCACCCGCGGATCCCGGCCCGGGCCGCTCCCACGGCCCCTGGGGGTCCCGCCCGGCCGCGTGCGGGAGCGCTCGGGGGGGCTCTCTGAGCCCCATCCCGGGGACCCGGGGTTCTCAGGCGCACCCCAAGGAGTTTGAGTTCTTAGCAGGAATTGCGGGGAGTCGGTGGTAATTTAGGGCGTGTGGTCACACGTGTGATCCTCCCGGGAAATGCCCATTTGTCCCGGGGTTGTGCCTAGGGAACCTGTGCTGTCTAGATCACCTTGAGAACTGTGGCTTTTTGTAGATTATGGCCATAAAGCTCAAATTTATATACAAATTTACGCATTCCTTGCAGAGATTTCTGTGCAAAATGGTCAGGTAACCACTAATATACAAATAATACACATTGATCATGTGTGTATAATCTGAAAACTAAGTTTCAGCAATGTGGAAGTATCCACAAACAAAAAAAAAAATCTAGGTTAGTTTTGATGTCTCTGCTTGCAATTAAATTCTGGTGAGACTAAGGCTTTCGGGATCCTTTCTGATGCAATACAGAGCTTGAGTGTTAACATTGGTGATGGTTATGTCAGTTTGATTGGATTTATAGACCCGATGTCATTATCTGTTGCTGTTTTGCATATTCATTATGTAACTTAATGAGTTTGGTTTTGCCATGATGAAAAAGGATTGGAGAATAATCAAACAAGAACTCAATTATTTGCGATGCCCAAAGGTACTTGGAATTTTTATTTAGAGGGAAAAGAGCTATCACATTTTATTTGTTTGTTTGTTGTTTTTGTTGTTTTTTTTTTTCTCTCTGAGTCTTCAATCCTTGCTAGGACAAACCAAGGGAAACCCAGCCATCCTGACAGCTGGATGTGCACATTCAGAAAGAGGATTACTGGTGTTCTCGCAGTGTCTTTGGGTGGGATTTTGGCAGTTTCAGGTTGGAATTGGAATGTAATTGTACCCGAAATCCAGGGACAGTTCCAGCCGTGAGTTTTCTCGTTCCCAGGTGGGATAACTGTAGTGGATGGGAGAGAACTGCTCTGGGTTTTAACACTTTGCCTCGTTTTTCAAGAAAGTTGTTAAGAGGTAAATGGTGAAACTGTGGCTTTAGATACTCATTAACTAATCTGTTAAGAGATTCCTTGTATGGTTTGGTGTCCTTCCCTTTGTGTACCAAGGGCTCTGGTGCCTCTGGACCCCCTGGTGTGCTCCCAAGGGATCCCCCAGGGATCTGCTCTCGAGGTGCTTCAGAGACCCCAATTCCATTTCACCCATTTTCTAATAGTGACAGGTTCTTTTGCTGTTCCTTTTCCTTTTTTTGGCCCTTCTTTAAATTCCAGGTCCTGACTTTTCCCTGCCCATGGTGTTCATTCATTTTTGGGGGGGTACAGGATACAAGTTATAGTCTGAGAGTTCTTTCCATCATCTGAATCCCTTTGTGTCCTGGATCCTGCTGGGATTCTTTCTTGCCTGTAGCATTTTTGAGTAAGCAATCCCACTTCCCTTGCTCCACCTCCTTGTTTGATCTGTGTCACTCTGACTCTGCTGTCTTCTCTAGAACTTCCTTATTCTCCTGGGCTGCCGGATCAGACATAACTTCCCAAGTTTCCCTACATTTCTGTTTCTCTCCCCTATCCATCCTCTTACTCCAGTTAATAACCACCTATTTCACATTTATCTTTAATCCACAACCAGCTTTGTGACTTCTATTCTTCCTCTCTCCAAACTCTACTTCCCTCCTCCTCCTGCTTTCCCCCAGCTCTATTGCATGGTTCTCTTCTTTATTGTATTCCATAAAGCTTCATCCAAACTGGAAAGTGGAGGGGATGGATTCCTGAGTCTTCTGTAGTCCAGGCCCATTGTTCAGCCCCAGGAAATCCTCGTGTATCCAGGCTGAGAGACAATTACCGAGTGTTTCAATCTCTGCTGAATTACAATAATGATGGATGGTGGCTTTTTTTGGAACTGTTGAGAACATTCAGTTCTTGATGGATTTCATTCAACTTGGATTTGAGAGTGAGTGGAAATGCCATTTTTAAAAGTGCAGCACACAGATGTATATGAAATGTCAGGCTGCAGAGGCATTGCCCAACACTGTCAGTTACATTAGATTCATTATTTTAGGAAAAACTCAGCTATCCCAAAGCATTCCTTGTGGTGCTCCTGGCTGTAAACAGGATCTACTAAAGACTCAGTAGAGTCTACCCTGTATCCTTGATAACATTCCCTTGTTATCACAGACATTTTAAGAATGCCTGAAAACGTTGTACTGCTTTTATGTAATGAGTTGTGTAATTTTTTTACAACTTAGATGAGTAAATCCTTCAACTGTGCCATCACTCCTTGATTTACTTTTCTTTACAATTTTACTGCTGAGATTTTGTTAAACACCTGTTTCTTTGGTTTTACATTTTTATTAATTATTTGGAGGGGGTTATTATTAATTATGTTTATTTTTATTTCCTAGTTATTTGTTCTTATTATTAACTATTAATAATAATTATGTTATTACTTATTATTATGGGTTAAAAAGGCACAATTTCAGCTGTGGATTCCTGGGTCCAAAAGGGCTCAGAGTTCTAATATTTCTATCTCTGGGCCACTTATCACTGCAGTTCATTCCCAATTTATTCAATCTGCAAGCTGTTGGAGCAAGTGGCTGTTTCTAATTTTAATGCTTTAAAAGCTGTAGTGTGCTGGCTCCTATCTAGTCTCTCAGCTGAGGTTAAATTTAAAGTTATTAAAGTGTGATCTGAGGGACATTGTGGGCAGTAGTTGAGTTGTGCACATTGAGCTGAGGTGGGGGTGAAGGTGAGAGAGGGTTTGGCATTTGCGGAGACCAAAATAGACCCTGGATTTCTGTCTGGGTGTGCCGGAGTCACTCCCCTGAATTTTGACAACTCTCAGAGCTGAAGGGCTTGATCAGCCTCCAGCAACCCAGATAAAGCTGTGCTGCTGGGGGGATGCACTGGAAAAGCTTGTCTTTGAATTGTCTGGGAATTCAGTAAGATCAGGAAGATCTTTGTCAGCGATGCGTGAATGTTTTCTGAGCTCTTCAGGCTGATCTGTGCCCCTGATAGATGAGGGCAGAACAAACAGCAACTGTGCCCTGGCCTGGGGTAGGAACACGGGCTTCAGGACATGCTACTGCTTCCTGTGCCTTCTGGAGTCAGCTTTTAACTCATCTGTTGCACAGCTCTGTCTGCAGAATAATTTTACTTTCTGTCCTTTATTTTATACATCCAATTAAAGCAAAATATGTACCACTTTCAGGACATAGGGACTTTTTTAATCCATTCTGGACTTAGATTACTGAGTTGACTCTGCATCTGGTTTTGGGGAGTTTGGTTTTGTTTTATTTTAGGGAAGGCACAGTTGTAGTTGTACAATTCTTTCTGGTTGTTGTAGGAAGTAGATATTTCTGTGGTTTGTTTGTTTGTTTTTCAAGTGACTTCAAGTGACTCAGTGTCTAGATTCTTGTTTGGATTTTCTGTGTCTGGGATTTTTTTTAGGTAGGCTAGTTCTGAGCTGAGGAGTAGGTACAGACCTCCCTTGTAGAGAGGTCTGTGTTTAGGAGCTTTTTACTCAATAGAATGAACTGTAGCATTGCCTGGCTGAGTTTCTTGAACTTGTGTTTTATTGTTCACTACTGAAGGACAGACACGAGCTCAGCACTGTGCATCCCTTAGGATGAACATGGCATTGCTGTGTGTGGGAGAAGCAGAATGGTGAAGTTTGGTCTAGAAGCTTGTATGAAATTGGGTTGATGAATAAAACAGAATCACAGAATGGTGGCCCATCCAGTTGCATCCCCTGCCAGACACCTTCCATTATTCCAGGTTACTCCAAGTCCTGTCCAATCTGGCCTTGGACACTTCCAGGGATGGGTCATCCGCAGCTTCTCTGGGCAACCTGTGCCAGGGCCTCACTACCCTCAGAGGGAAGGATTCCTTCCCAGTATCCCATCTGACCCTGCTCTCTGGCAGCTTAAAGCCATCACCCCACGTCCTGTCCCCACATTGCCCTTGTCACAAGTCACAGTGATCTTTTAATCATCACCCTCTTCATGTCATAATTTACCTTAATAAGCAATTTGGGGCCTAGATTGGAGAGTGTAAAACCCCTGGGTTTAACTGATACAGAGTTGGTAACTTTTTATCTTCCTCGGAAACATTTTCCTTCACCTCCTTCCTTTCTCCCAGACAAAAATTAAGTTGCATTTAGGTGCCTGCTCAAGGATATATTGAGCCTGACAACTATTGCCCAGTTCAAGTGAGGCAATAAAGGTTATTTGTGCAATTTTGGCTGGGTGTGGTGTAACCCCTGGTGACTGTTCCCTGTCTCTCTCCCGCAGTGACTCCCCCTTGCCGGTGTCGTCGCGTGTGTGCTTTGTGAAGTTCCACGACCCCGACTCGGCGGTGGTGGCGCAGCACCTGACAAACACTGTGTTCGTGGACAGAGCCCTCATAGTCGTGCCCTATGCAGAAGGTTTGTGACTTGTTTAATGGCCCACAGAGCCACCTTTGGTGGGGTTTCATTCCTGTCTAGTGCACAAAACCCAGCGTTAGTCCAAAGTCAAACACTCAGATATCTCCATCCTGAAACCCTTGGTATGTTGCCTTTGGCCCCTGGGCTCAATGATTTCATTCACCTCATGAAAGTGGGAAGTTTTGTGTGTCTTGAAGTTTAGAATAATAACATTTTAGGCAGAATTGTTTGCAAATTTTGCTCTGTATCTGTCTCAATGAGACATTTCCCAAACGTACTTAAATGCAAACAGGTCAATATTTTAAGCAACTTTTGCCTTAATAATTAAGCATTTACTACTTTCACTCTCTTCATGAGAATGGTTTGTCCCTCCCTAGAGTGCATGGGAGAGGAACTAGCATTCCTCTGGGATATGCTGCCACTGCATTTATTTGGGAACACCCCATAAAGGCCCTCGCTCTCCTTGTGGAGTCCAATATACCAAGGGTTTGAATAATTATGCTTTAATTCAAAAGTGAGATCTTCCAAGAGGTGCCACATGGGCACTGGTCCTAGTTTTTTAATCCAAGTTGTCTTGTTCATCCTTGATATATTTAATAGAATTTCGCTAAATAATAAACTCTTCTCTCTGTTATTTGTGTGTGTGATTTTTGTAGTGGAGAAGGCAAATGCAAAGCCCTTCCAGATGACTGAAAAACAGTGGGTCCTCTGCAGCTACAGGGGATTCTAGCCATTAACTAAAGGCCAGCAAGCACTCAAGTCCCCAAGTGTTTTCCTGGTGTAACCACTTGTTAACTACATTTTCTCTTCTTCTTTTTATTTTTACATTTTAGGGTGTTACAGTAATTTGAAAGGCAATGAGCAGGGTTTTTGGAACTTACCTTAAAAGCAAAGTGCTGAGAAGACACCTCTTCTTACAGAAGTCTTATTAAACTCTTCTAGACTTGCTTTAGAAGTAACTGATTTCCATTGTACTTGTACTTTTCTTGATTTACTTCTGGGAAAGCTTGAATTTAATAAAATCTTGCAGATTAAGTTTGGTACATGGCCTGGGGTCAGACCTGTAATCAAGACACTGTAATGCTGTAGCTGTCTCTTGAGGCCTGGGGAGCTGTCCTATCTTATCTTTGTATTCCTGACGCGTAAAAGATATGAAACTTAACAAATGAAACTTAATCCCTGGAGTGTAGGAATGTGCAGCGTGGCCTTTGAGCTGTGCTGCTCTCTGAGGGTACAGACCCCCCCCTGCAATGGAGTTACTGCTCCTGCTGCCACTAGTTGAGGTGTAATAGCAGAGCTGAAAGGCATCTTGTCCTTGTCTGTGTGTTAAATACAGCACCAGTCCAGCAGAGTTAGTGCTGGAATGTTCTCCAAGGCCCATGTGAATAATGTCCGTGTTTAACTCTTCCTACAAGGATAAAACTACTTTTCTCTTTGTCAGTCTCGCTTTGTCCACTGTGGATAAATCTGGCACACAGAGAAACCTGCCCAGTAGTTTTGCTTGAGATTGTGTAAAGAAAATCAAATTATTAAAGCAGAATATTGTAATGGGCCTGTTAAATCAAGGAGTTCCTCGTGGGCTGTACCTTGTGGTGTTTGAGCAGTTCAGAATTTGATGGTTTTGGCATATCACAAGAGATATGTTCAGCCAATAACATATTGCCCCTGATTTGGTAATCCCATGGTCCTGTCCCTGTACTGGAGAACAGTTTTCCCTTAAAATTCAGAGTGCAGGGGTCCCAGTTGAACAAACTGAGCACCAAACAGCAAGTTTAAGAACCCCAGTGACACTGCTCATGTGCTTAAAGCCAGGCATGTGCTGAACTACTGTGAACGGGGCCCTCCTCTCTCTGGTTTCTACTGTGCTGATTAATTCTGTGTCAATATTGCCTGTCACTAAAGCAAATGTTTATTATCTGTTCAGTGCAATAATTCCCCCCCTATCCCAAGTTTTAGCTCACACAGACACTTTGGTGGTGGCTGTTGCTTTGTGTTATAGAACTATACACAAAGGCTACGGTAAGGTTTAGTATTTGTCATTTTCTCTGGGCTATTCCTGGATTTGGAAGGAACTCTTAAGGTTAAAGATGGCTGGGGGGGGTGTTTAGGTTCTTTGGTTAATGTTTGTTTCTTTTGTCTGTTTCTTTTTCTTTCATTTCTACACATTCATGCAGTATTTCATGGTTCTAACAAAGCAGCAGTAAAAAAAGCTCTTGAAGCATGAAAATTAACTGGTGAGGGGCCTCATTGCTTTTTTTCAATTGTAGTTTATTTAAATACTTTTTAAAGAAACTATTAGAGGATCAGATGCATGATTTTTTTTAATGGATGCAGATCTTCTATGAGGTGTCTCGAGCTAAGTCTGAGGATTTGTATTTAGATGCCAGAAATGTTGTAGTTGCGCTAATTTGAAATGTTTAGCTGTAATTGATAAATATCCTCTGAGACATAATTTTGCATGCAAAATTACCCCATAATCTCTCTGTAGGTATGTTGATATATTTATGCATTACTGCCCTTTGCCTCCATGACCTTTTTCCCCCTGTCCCTCCATAACTTTGGGTATCTAAATTGCTGCCAGCTCAGTGCCACGGGCCAGATAACAGTGCTGTGTATTGTACGTTTGTGTAGATTATCGGCACTTCTCAGTATAGGTGGGAGGAACCATTACCTTTATTTAACAGTGGTTTTTCTTTTTTGTTGTTGTGTTTTACAGTTCTTTTCCCTGGTTCAGCCTGAACTATATACCAGGCCCTGCTGAAAATACCACCCAACAGTTTTCTTCTGCAGCTTATCCAGTTTCTCTTAAGTGCCCTGTACATATTGTATGTTTTATGATGAGATGCAGTTTCTTAATGTGTATTACAGAAACACTACTGGTATTTGCAAATATATAGTAAAATTGTTTTATTGAACTCTCATTTTGGGGGCTTGGGCACATTAACAAATTAATCCATCTGTATAGGGCTTTTGCTGTTGGATAGAGTAAAAATACCTACACAATTGTTTCCTAGTAGGGCCCTTAAAATTCCCTGTGCAGAGCAGGCAGAGAAATAAGACACTTGTCTTAGTTGGCTGCAAGATTTTGGGCCAGAAGTCCCCTCTGCCATGGCAGTTTGTAGCAGCATTCTTGGTACACTAAGCGTGGCACATATTGGAACAAATGCATTTTACTGCACAGGTAAGGAATGTGCCACCATTCCCTGTATCCACCAGCCACCCCCAGACACACACACAGCCTTCTTGGAGACCTGCAGGGACTTGCATTTCCATATGACACGTCAGCAAAAGCCCTACGCTTGATTCAACCCCAAATATCCATCCCTTCTCTTTAAGTTTGACAAAATTTGTATGGTAGGTGTAAAAGAAAACAATAGTGAACTGTACCATATTATTAACCCCTAAATCAAACTTTTTTTGTCTTGTGTATCTTGATTTTTCTGTGTGCTTTGTAGTGAAGCAGCCGACACGAGTCGTTGTTCATAAAACAGCTTTTGAAAGTTGAGAGCACACCCCTGGAGAACCGACTGTGCTTGCTTACGTTTGGTTCATGACTTAAAAATCGAGTACAGGTGATGAAACCTTGGCAGTGTTAACAAAAAAGTAGTGTGTATTGTGCTATTTTTTTGCTCTAGAAACTTAACCTTTTGTAGAGAAAAAGGAACAGTCAAATTTTCACCCATTGAAGTTGCATTCTGACAAAAAAGTTAATGCTAAATATTAATAGCCATCAAGCTTTGTATTTTAGCCAACATAAGTACTTTCAACAAACTCAGGTGGTGTATCAGGGAGACTTTGCTGGGTGTATTTGTGTATTTTCTGCCTCTGGGATGGGATGCACTCTAATGCCAGGCTGTTTCTCTGCAGGAGTCATTCCTGATGAGACTAAGGCTTTGTCTCTCTTGGCACCAGCTAATGCAGTGGCTGGGCTGCTGCCCGGAGGTGGACTGCTGCCCACTCCCAACCCACTCTCTCAGGTAGGATCTCACCTGGGCTGGGCCAGGGGAGACCATTGGGTGTGTTCTGCTGTGTTCTCACTTCACTCCTGCTCTTTTTTTCAGGCCTTAGGTGCTAATTGCAATTCCTAGAATAGTTCCAAACCCTGATGGTTTGTTACAGCTCTGATAGGACTGGGGCAAAACAGTGATTAGTTGCTACATGGGATCTTATTTCCCTGAAATGATGCTTCTGGTGTCTCAGGGCCCTGTTTGTTTCTGTCTCCCATCCCTTTTTATCCATTGTACTTACAGATTTGCCAGCAGTAGAGATCTCATAGGTTTTAAATTCATGGAGTCCAAGGAGCTGCCATGCTGGGAGATTCCTTTCATTAATACTCCAGCTGAGGGGAAAATTGGAGCCTCGTTATCTCAACCCACAAGAATTCGTGTGGAAGATGAACAGTGAGAGTAATGCATTGTGGGAACACACATCTCTTATCAGGGAACAGAGAATCAAAGTCAGGAGGCAAATTAATAATAATAAGGCTTCATTAATTCTGCAGTTCTCAAACCTACTTCAGCTTAGCTGAAGGGTCCCCTTGCCTTGGAACTGCTCAGAAGATATTTAACCCAATATGGTGGGAAAAGCCTAAATTTAAACAAGGAAAGGGTTGGAAAAATCAAATACAGCCTGAAAGATTCCATTCACTAAGAACTGTGTATATAAATTCCTGAGAATGGTGGTTGAGCCACATTAATTTGAGCTCTGTCACTCTGTATCCCAGCCTGGTCCCAGTTCACTTAATGGTGGAATATATTTAACACATCCACGTGATGGGAATTCAGTGAAGTCATTTTTTTCAAACACATCTTCAAAGTGTGTTTGGTTTCAGTGTCTGTTGATCATCTCACTTTAAATGGCCAAACATGAGGTGCTTTAATGAGGCTTCTGGAGGAATTTAAGGAATTCAGACCTATGTCATTATCCTACTTCCTCTTCCAGTAGCTTTTTTAACCCATTTGCCAGTTTTAACTAGATCTGAGAAATCTGCAAAGATGTGATACTGTTACATTCCCTTTTAACATTTCAGTCCTAGATTGATTTAGAAATGAGGTGGTTGCCTGAGAAACTTATAAGGAATTTTCATTTTAGCACTGGGAATATCATTTCGTTTTAAACTATTCCTTGAAATTTGTGGAGTGCTTTACTTTTTTGCCTTTTTTTTCCCCCCTACCTGTCAGGATGCAGAGGAAGCACAATTTCATCCACTTTCATACATAGTAAGCCTTGGAATCCCTGAATAAGGAATCCTGAACACTCTCTCTGACCTTTGTATAATGTTTCCTGTAGCTGGAAGCTGAAGTAAAGCCCAGCTCAGGTTTCCACATGTCTCATGTGTGGGAATGTTGATTTTCTCCTTGCTAACCCAGGTTTTTATTAATGACTGTGCTCTAATTGCTGTCTCTGTCCCAGATTGGTGCTGTCCCTTTAGCTGCTTTAGGAGCTCCTGCTCTTGATCCTGCCCTTGCTGCTCTCGGGCTTCCTGGAGCAAACCTAAACTCTCAGGTATGGCCCAAAATACCCTTCATTGTCCCCTCTCTTTTCTATTTTAAAAGTAATTTTCATATATTTACTGGCTGGAAACTCCAGTGATTGGTTTCTGTGAAAACCTGCTTGGAATAAAGAGTATCTGCTTGAATATCAAATTAAATGCTGGAAAGGCCTGAGAAATAATTTGGGAATAGTAGTGAAATATTTTAAATGTGTCATTATCAAGCCATGAACCTGTCTTGTACTTAGAGTAAAAAAAAATAGTTTGACTTTTTAATCTTTTAGGTGTAGAAAACAGATAGAAGAGTTTGTTAGGCTGTTAAAGCTGGATAACAAGATTTTAAGTACTAAGTAATAGTAGACTATTGAATATATTTATATAAATATACAAAACTATATTAACATACTGAGCATATTTATATATTTACAAATAGAATTTTTAAGATATAAGAACCAAAAACTGTACAGTAGCAATAATTAAATGCACTGCTGAAAAACCCAGCAATTAGCATTCTCTTTATGCATTCAGTTTGGAAGAAAAGCAAATCATGGTGAATATGAAATGACAAATGGAAAAAATAGAATTTTAAAATAGAAAAATCTAAAGTTGGTGTGACGGGGAATTGTCTCCTGTGCATTAAACCAGCTGAATGCAACAAACTGTTACATACATGTAAAAGAAAATGAGTGAGGGCTAAACATTTTGTTAATACCTCACTGGTACAGGAAGTGACTAATCCTAATAACACCTGGATTTTCCTAAGAGCTGTAGAATACATTTTTCCATAGAATTTTTAGATGTTTACTGTTCATAAATAGGCATTGAGGCCTTTAGTGGACAGGAAGCTTTGTTATTATTTATTATTTATTTACTTACTTACCAGCAGTGTATTTTTATATATTTCTGTTTTCATGCCCTGATTCTGTCCAGGGCAGGGCCTGTGTTTGGCTGCTGTGGAAAATAAAGCCCCTGAACACCACTGCAGTGTGATGTTCACATCCTTCCACCATCCCCCAGTCAAACCAGATCAATGTGCCTTTTCCTCTTTGTCTGGGGGTGTTCTGGTCTGGTGTTTCCATCTGTGAAGAATTCCTGCCTTAGCCACTGCTGAGGGGACGTTCAAGGAAGATAATCCTGAGCGCACACATGATTTTAACTTGCTGGGTTTTTTTTTTTCCCTCACAGTCTCTTGCAGCAGATCAGCTCCTAAAACTGATGAGCACAGTGGATCCAAAGTAAGCATCAACGTTCATTAATACTTGCATTGCACTGCATGGGATCTGGGGAATATCTGTGGGAATTCAGTGGCCAAGCCTTGTCCTGTGGGAGGCAACTGGCAGTTTGGATAGCGTTTGGGGCACTCTGATCTGGTAGAAGGTGTCCCTGCCCATGGCAAGGGGTGGAACGAGAATCATAGAATCAACTGGGCTGGAAAAGACCTCTGAGATCATCAAGTCCAACCCTTGATCCAACACTGCTATGATTACTAGACTATGGCACTAAGTGTCACATCCAGTCTCATCTTAAAAACCTCCAGGGATGGAGAATCCACCACTTCCCTGAGCAGCCCATTCCAATGCCTGATTACCCTCTCTGTAAAGAATTTCTTCCTAACATCCAACCTAAACCTCCCCTGGCAGAGCTTAAGATCATGCCCTCTTGTCTTACTGATGGTTGCCTGGGAGGTTTAAACCTGAGATGAGGTTTAGGTCCCTCCCAACCCAAACCATTCCAGGATTCCCTGATTCTAAGAACAGGCTCAAACAGTGGAGACCTTTATCTCTTAGATTCATTGATATGAATTTCTGGAACTCTGTTCCCCAGGTTGAACCATGTGGCTGCAGGTCTTGTCTCCCCGAGTCTGAAATCAGATACCTCCAGTAAAGAAATCGAGGAAGCGATGAAGAGGGTCCGAGAAGCACAGTCCTTAATCTCTGCTGCTATAGAGCCAGGTAATTCCAGACCCTGGGATGAGCCATTCCCTTCAGCGTGCACTTTGATGTAGTACATGATAAAAGCTGGGCTGCAGAATATTGGCTTAATGCCTTTGCTTTGTACTGGCTGCATTTGTAGGTGGCAGGGTTTGAACTTATCTGCAGTAGATGCTCCATGTGTCCTGCAGGATGGGTTAGGGATTAAGCTATTGTTTTTTCCAAAATTCACTTATTTGAAGATTGCAAAATGCCCAGTTCATGTTGCTGTCTCTGAGATTTTATGGGAACAGCAGTGGCCTCACCACCCGACACACTAGTGATGCTTGTTCTCAGGGGTGGTTTCTTTTATCTCAGATCTTAATCTGTGGAGGCTTGTAAATAATTCTCTTTTTTGTAGCTTTTGCAGCAGATTTTATTTTGGAACAAGCTGCAGCCGTTCTCCCACAAATGTCAGAAACACCAAATCTGAGAGGCAGTAGTTTGAAACACTGAAAATACAATTATGCAGCCTCTTGATAATTTTCAAGAAAAGAACAGAACTCTTGTTCTTGTCTTATATCAGAAAAAATGCGCTGATTGCTTTTGCTTTTTTATGGGAAATTCAAAACAATCATTTGAGAGGTTCTTTAGCCTCTCACAAAATGGCAGATTGTGGAATTTGCACAAGACTTTCCATAGCCCTGCAGCTACCAGCTTTTAACTGACTTTAAGTCTTTTCTAAATTTTTACTTCTTCAGTTTTGCATAAAACTCTGTTGTTTTATGTCACTTAGATGTCTCTGTCTTGTGTTCATTCTTTCTGTCCTCTTGTGAAGAAAATGGTAGATAAGCCCTAATTTCGGATGTCAAAATGAGATTTTATCTATTTATAGGTACTACATGAAGCTCCAGGTAATTTCCTTTATAAAATCTTTTAAAATACTAAAATAGTACTTGGTGTTTTTTTCCTTTTTCAGACAAAAAAGATGAAAAACGAAGACATTCAAGGTCGAGGTCACGCTCGAGGAGGAGGAGGACACCTTCTTCATCTAGACACAGGTAAAGGTACCTCATGGGCTTAAAAAAACTCTCCCAGAGCTGAAAGAATTCTTTCAAAAATACTTCTTGAAAGGGCCTCTTTCATTTGGTTTACTGTTCTGAAGATTGATTTCCATTTGAACATGACTTCCCAGAGTTCCTCTGCAATAGGACTGATAATTCCTTACAGTAGGTTAGTAAGGGCTGATTGATTGAGTCTTCTTATTGTGTTCTGTATAATTCTCTGCATTTCTATCCGGTTGTGCCTCGCTCTTACCACTGATTCCCTTATGGTGACAGGTCTCAGAATGTTGTGTGTCTGACCTTGTGTTGTGTGTTCCTGGCAGACGGTCCAGAAGCAGATCAAGGAGAAGGTCCCATTCCAAATCCAGAAGCAGGAGGCGATCCAAAAGCCCCAGGCGAAGGAGATCTCATTCCAGAGATAGAAGCAGGAGGTCCAGGAGCACATCCAAAACCAGGTAATGGCTTCAGGAAATCACCCTGACCAGGGCAGTGCCTATCTCTGTGTGCTGGGCACGGCTGAGGCGCCTCCAGTGGGGGACAGTTCTGGGCTTTCAGTTCAGGAACGACATGAAGGGGCTGGAGTGGGTCCAGAGAAGGGAATGGAGCTGGGGAAGGGTCTGGAGCACCAGGAGTGGCTGAGGGAGCTGGGGAGGCTCAGCCTGGAGAAAAGGAGACTCAGGGGGGACCTTCTCACTCTCTACAACTCCGACAGGAGGGTGGAGGTCTGGCTCTGCTCCCAGGGGACAAGGGACAGGATGAGAGGAAAGGGCCTCCAGCTGTGCCAGGGGAGGGTCAGGTTGGACATCAGGAGGAATTTTCTCATGTAAAGAGTGTTCAGGCATTGAGAGGGGCTGCCCAGGGAGGCGGTGGAGTCCCCATCCCTGGAGGTGTCCAAGGAACGACTGGGCTCAGTGCTCTGGACTGGGTGACAAGGTGGGGATTGGGCTCAGGTTGGACTTGATGGTCTGGGAGGGCTTTTCTAATCTAAGTGATTCTATGATTCTGTGATAGACTATTTGCTAGAAATTACCACATTTTGGTGCTTGATTTAAACAAAAAAATGAACCCAGGACACAATGAAGCAGTGGCTCTTTTTAAAGTAACTGTTTCTTGTAACATCATTCAGTAGCTGCCTTGGAAAGCAGACAATGTGAGCACCTAGAGTTGCAGATTAGGGGCTGTTGGTACAGAGAAACTGTAACAGTAGTGCTTTTATTTTTTCTTCAGATAATTTATTTCCATTATTATAATGTGCCTGGCCTCAGAAATCCTGACCAGGTTGTGCCGCTCTGTCATTGTTGTGCCAGCTCTGCCTTCTTTTCCCTATATAGAAAATTAGGAACTGCTGCTTAAATGGTTTGAAAATTACTTAACCTGGCAATCTCTTTTTTACTAAAAGGGATAAAAAGAAGGAAGAGAAAGAAAAGAAACGTTCTAAAACTCCCCCCAAAAGCTACAGCACAACCAGACGATCCAGAAGCACAAGCAGGTATGTGAACAGGGGATTTTCCTTGGTCTCTGTTTCCAGCATGATTTTGATCCACTTTAATATTAAATAGGAAGAATGTTTTTGTAGTTGAGCAGCAGGTCTAGTGGAAGGTGCACCTGGACTCTATTCTTCCCCTGAAACTGTTATTTTTGAGGTAAATACTTTGGGCTTTAACAGTTTCTCCTTGCTTTGTATCAGAGGGTGACACTGAGGTCACTGCCAAACTCTTCCTGATTTAGGGAATAAATATATGCAAAAGGTGTGTTACTGTTTCAGAAAACCTCCAAGTTTAACTTGTGATTTCAGCAACTATTTAATACTCTTTGAGCTCAGCTGGGTTTGGACAAGGAGATGTATTTGTAGCTTTAATAATAAATTATTAAAAAGCTTCTGTGTCTTTGCTACAGAGAAAGACGGCGCAGGAGGAGCCGGAGTGGAACACGGTCACCCAAAAAGCCCAGGTCTCCCAAACGGAAAATGTCCCGATCTCCGTCTCCAAGAAGGTCAGGGAGTGGCTAAAAAATTGAGTCTTGGTGGAAAATTCCCAAAATGTGACCTATAGGGAAGATCCTGGCATGTCTTGTTGAGGATGGAGTGTGTTTGGGTGGATCTCTGCTGCCTCTTACTCCTTTTAGCATCACTTGACCAGCTCCAGGCTCGAGCTGCTGTTTTGTTGCCTGGGAATGCCAAGGGTGAGATGTTCCAGGGGTGGTGGGAGTAGGAGATGGAAAAAATCCCGTTCCCTTTGCCTCATTACAGTAGGAATCCACTGATTTGGGGTGGCCCTGGGTGTTTGTGACCCTCTGCCAGAACGGGGAACTCACGATGCTCCTTTGTAAAATGCTGGCACATTGCTATTCTTACTCTCCAGGAGTTGGACTCCATGATCCTTGTGGGTCCCTTCCAACTCGGGATGTTCCATGTTCTTAGCCTTAGCTTTGTGGTTGTACTGCATCTGGAGCTAAGAAGTTGGGATTCTGGGGAGTTTTATGAATGTGCAGGGTGTTCCCGAAGTTCCTTGCTGCCATCTTCCCTTGGGTTTGTAGTGAGCTGTGGGTGACACTCTGGATGTGTTCCAGTCCTGGGGTGAGAGTGGGTTTCATCCTTCTCCTGTGTCATCACAGGCATAAAAAGGAAAAGAAGAAGGATAAGGACAAGGAGAGGAGCAGAGATGAGAGGGAGCGGTCAACAAGCAAGAAAAAGAAAAGCAAAGACAAGGAGAAGGATCGAGACCGGAAATCCGAGAGCGACAAGGACGTGAAAGTATGTTTAATAAACCCCTGGAGCCCCCCCTGCCCACACCCCTCATGTGCCCCCACTCCGGCACCCCAGGGCCGTGCTAACGTGTCCCTTTCCCTGGCAAAGCAGGTCACAAGGGACTACGACGAGGAGGAGCAGGGCTATGACAGCGAGAAGGATAAGAAGGAGGAGAAGAAACTGGCAGAGGGCTCTTCCCCCAAGGGGAAGGAGCCTGGAGCTGAGAAGGGCAGTGGGGACCTGGGCAGGGAATCCAAAGTGAATGGGGACGACCACCACGAGGAGGACATGGACATGAGCGACTGAGCCCCCTGGCCACCCGTGTGATTCTTTTATCTGTACTTGTTAATCCTCAATCTTAGATGTATCCAGCTCCGAGCTCTCCATGGTCTGTCCATCCTGTACTAACTCACACCCAAAGCTTGATAGAGGGACCCCTGTGCTCCGGGTGGGGGGGACTCGCTGGGGCCGAGGCTGCATGACCCCCCCGCAGCATGGGCTGTGTGTGACCCCCCTGTCCCCCTGTAGTGTCCCGGGAGCAGGGCAGGGATGCTCCGGCTGCTTGGGGCATGTGGCACCAACACACACCTGGGGCAGCCCCTGAGCCTGACACGTGACCTCACACCAGGGTCAGCCTTTGATCCCACCAGCTTTTTGTCCTCTTGGGTTTAGTTTTGGTTTTAAGCCAAGTGCTGGGGTTGATTTGGTTTGGTTTTCCTGGTGGGGTTTGTTGGCTTGGCCAGAGTTAAAATGCACTGACCTTCCTGAGGGCTCCCAGTCTGTTCAGTTCCATCTGGGGCGAGCTGGGATGGGTCTCCCCTCAGGAAAGGAATCCCTGCCCTGTGCCCAGTGATGGAGGGTTGGTGGAAGTTCATCCCAGGTGCGGTTGCTCAGGAGCTCACCCACTGCAGCAGGGAGTGCATTTTAAACTGACCTTGGTTTGCTTTTAAAGCAAGTCCACCCGATAATGTACTTTTTACTTGATCTCAAGTTGTATAAACTAATGAGTTTGTGTTCCTGTCCCGCAGTGTCCCGTCCCTCCCCGCACACAATGACCCCTGGAATATGCAGAGTAGTTAGCCAAGCTGTTCCTTAGTTCCAGCAGCTCCAGAGCTTTTACTTTTGTGCAGGTAAAGAGACAAAAGTAGGCAACAGTCTGTGCCATGTCGATGTACAGTTTCGGAAATTGTTTTACAAAACTTTGATAATAAAACCCTGAAACTTAAACTCCTGTTCCTAGAAAACTCCTGGTGTTTATTTCTACCACCAAACTTGACCTCATTCCTTAGAGGGGACTTTTATTCCATCTCCCTCTTTTAAAAGGACCTGACAATTTATTCTCTTTAAAACCTGGTTGAATATGTTACACTGAAGAACAAGTTTATACTCTTGGGGGGAATGGGTTTAAATAAGGATCTGGAGGTTTTATGGGACTGCAGAGAAGGACATGGGGGTGCTGGTGGGGGAGAGGCTGGACATGACCCAGCCCCTAACTCCCTGTGCTCTGGGCTGATCCCACAGCATGGGCAGCAGGAGAGGGGGGGATTCTTCCCCTATGCCCCCTCAGGTGAGACCCCCCCTGCAGAGCTGCCTCCAGCAGGATGTGGAGCTGCTGGAGCAAGTCCAGAGGAGGCCAGGGAGATGCTGCCACAGCTGGAGCTTCCCTACCATGGAGTCAGGCTGGAAGGGCTGGGGGTGTTCTCCTGGAGAAGGCTCCAGGGAGACCTTAGAGCCCTTCCAGTGCCTAAAGGGGCTCCAAGAGAGTTGGAGAGGGACTTGGGGCAAGGGCCTGCAGGGACAGGACAATGGGGAATGGCTTCCCTCTGCCAGAAGGCTGGGTTAGGTTTAGGGTAGGGAATTGTGGAAGTTTGGGATTCTGTAAGCATTTATAAAGAAAAGTATTTGCAAAACTGGCTTATATTTCCATGCAACCATGACCACTCACCTCTGAGGAAGGCTGGAAGCCACAAGTGCTTTGTGCAGGTAATGGCAACCCAAAATTTAGTAGCCTCAAGTTCCAGCTGTCACTCAGATCACCAGTGATTCCAGCAAACCCCCCCAAAAAACCCAAATAAACCCTCCCGAAACAACAACAAAAAAAACCCCATCCCGAAACCACACAACCTTCTGGAAGGAAAAAACCTTCAGGTTTTGCTCTCCAAGTCGGAACAGAGCCCATTTTGTGATCGAAGTGAGCCCATTGCTGGATTTGGGAGGTAAAACCTCTGTACTTACTGAACACAGTTCAGCAAACTCGGGTCTCCTTACCCCCCTTTCCAGGCAGCTGCTCCCAACCTTGGATCCGTCAGCTCCAGGCGAGTGCCAGAAGCTGCTCTTTGTGTCCTTCTCCCCCCAAAACTTAGGATTCACAGAGGGCCAAGCACAGGCTGTAATGAAAATGCAGGATTTTATTTAAAAAATGACCAAGAAAATGCCCTTGCAGGACTCAGCAGCATGAGCTTGTCCCTCCCCTCCAATCCTGCTCCAAGACACAGCCACAGCAGAGCTGTCCCAGAGAGAGAAGCCTGGATTGCACAGGTGGAGCAGTTTCAGAATCAAACAGCATATTTTGGTCTTTATTCTAACAAATGATACAACCAAAACTGACTATTAGTGAAGATAAAAACAAGGACCAGACAACAGTAAAACGCAAGAGAAGTGACTTGTTTCCGTGGGAGTTACAAACTGTCAGGAAAATAAAGAGTGAAACTGCAGCATTACAGGAATTGGTTAATCCGGATTAAATAACGCAGTTCTCTTGGCGGGAATTACAACTCAGGAATAGACATGAAAAGAACAGAGGGTGGGTGAGAATATCAACGTAACATGGTGGGATTCCAGCACAAACACGCCTGGAGGTTTGTGTAACAATGGAATCGCAGGGAGGTGAGTGCAGTGGCTGGACAGCAGCTCCTGGAGGGAAAACCCAATGCCTTCCCTGTGCCACAGGTGAGAGTAGGAGGTTGGAAGACCAGTGGAACAGCTGGGTTCAGAACCAACCCATGGGATTCTCCCGCAACCATTTCTGAATTTGGTTTAGCAAAACTTGTGGTTGTCTTTTAGTAGCCATGAAAACCTCAGGAAAGCTGTGGTGGGATGGGAGCACAGCCCCAGGCAGGCTCCAGGCTGTTTGTCCTCCCCAGCGGAGTCCGAGTGCAGCAGGACACGGCCATTCCCACCCAGCCCGTGCCCGCTCCCTTTTCCATCCTGCCTGGACACCCACCGCCAGCTGGCAGGTCCAGGGGGTGTTCCTGGTCCCCCACCTGTATCCAAGCCATGGGGTCTCTGCAGGGAGGTCCCTCCTGCCCCAGGGATGAGCTTGAGCTGCCACACAGACACAATTCTGCACAAGGATGGTGAATCTGTGCTCACTCCACAGAGCACAGCATTGGTCCCAGGGACCAAACCTTCCCAACACCTGCCCTGGCCTTGAGGAAAAGGGGAAAAGCCAAGCTGAAGCTCTATTGGATCAATCCTGCCAGAAAAATGAATTTCCCAGAGACATGGGACCAGGAATGGGAAGGGACCCTATGCCCACCCCTGGCTGGGGCTGAGGCTCCCTCTGGACAGGAAACACCTCCCCAGGCATTGCTGGAGCTCCTGGGAGACATTCCCGGCCCATAAACACACCGAGTGTCTGTGCAACACAATCCCAGTGAGAAAAACCAACTTCAGGGAAGAAAACAGGTATCAGGGTGGATAATCTGTGGGGAACCACAGTGGCACAGCCACAGCCTGTCCCCAAGAGGGGCTCAGCCCAATGTCCATCTCACTGAGGATTCCTGCAGTGTATCCATTGGGAAATTGTGCCCCAGGTGTCCCTAAGTGTGAGAACTCATCCCTAGGAATGTTTCAGACAGCAAACACATCCCAAGGGCCAGGGGAAAATGTACCAAGAGCAGCTCTGGGAGCCCCCAGAACTGGAGCTGGAGGGCCAACCCAGGGGGAGTCCCATCCCTCAGCTCCACAGGGAGGGAGGGGGGGGAGGAGGAGCAGCCAGGTGTGTTCACTGGGATAATACAGAACAAGAGCAGTCATCCAAAGCTGTTCCCACAATCCAACTCAGAACAAGCCTCAACAGCAACTCACTGCAAAACCGTCCTGCACACTCCACAGGTGTCTGGGGGAGCAGCTGTGTCCTCAAGGGGGTTTAGTCCCACAAACCTACAGCCAGAGCCCACAGGAACCATAGGAAACACTTCCAGGACCTGCCGGGGGCTTTCAGCAGAGACCTGATGCCACAGTCACCACCAGGGGCTGTTCCAGAGGCAGATGGAGCCACAGGACCCTCAGTCTCACATGAGGCCACATAAACCCCTTTTTCTGTTTTTCTCCCAGCCCAGCCCCCATCCCTGGCAGTGGCTGCAATGCCCAGTGATGCACCTTCCATGGAGCCATGGAAGAATTTGGGATAACCAGAAAAGCAAAGTAATACAAACCTGTGGATCCCTCCCTGTAATGCTGAGGAAAGGGATTTCTAACATTCACCTTCAGGGAAACTTCCTGCTTGTGCTGGAATTCCCAGGGGACTGGGTACCCCTGTTTGGCACCTGCTTCAGCTCCTGGCACAGGTCCTGCAGCTACACAAAACATTCTGCCCTGCATGGGCACTGGGAGGGCCAGGGCAGCCAGGTCCCACCAACACTCATCCCAGGATCCTGGCTGGCCCTGAGGAGCACCAGGAGGTGAGTGAGGTGTGAAACACTTCAGGAATTCATCATTACTTGGGAGATCAAGTTCCATCATTCCCAGCTGTTCCACACCTGCCCCGACTAAGCACTGCAGGAGCCCTGCCCCTTTGCTTGTTTCCCTAGTTTTATTTGGGATTTGAATTTGAATTAACAACTCCAGTGTATCTATGCCAGGCTGCAAAGCTGCACTTCTCCCCTGCCCCAGTGCTCCCTGTTCCCTGCAGGTTTACAGCAGAGCTGGGAGAGGACCAACCCCACCCTCCCACTCCAGTGCACGTGGACTTTGCTGACAGTGATTCCCTGGGATTCCTCCCTGTTCTTCCCCAGAGCAGCCTCTTTGGGATGGATCAGATTCCAGCAGTTTGGAATCACAGGTGTGCCTGACACCTTGCCTTGTGCTGAGCCCCTCCCTTGATCCCTCGTGGGCAGCACAGCTGTTCACTCCACTAAGCATCGATGACCCTCTTCATTATAAACTTTGATCCTTAACTCTATGGAATTCCAGAAAAAGTTTTACCTACAGTGCACAAAGAATATAATTTGGAAAATATTTACATTTTTGTACAATGACACCACAGCACTTGAATCTAAGTTTCTTCATACAAACAAATAGCACCATCAGCCTTTTGCACAAATCCTGCCTAACAAACCCCAAGAAGCTGGATTATTGTCAGATGAGGAGACTGGAACCACTGGGAATAGGAATAAGCTCGAGGAGCTGGAGTACCGAAACACCCATGATGAGGGGTTGGACAAGATGAGCTTTAAGACCCCTCCCAACCCAAACCAGTCTGGGAATCTCTGTGATTAAAATATGAAGAGGCAGGAAATTAATGTGGAAATGCCCCAAACCAAAGCTCCCCATGAGCACCACGATAACCCCACTGCAGGGAACCTCCTCCTGCAGGAAGGTTGAATGCCTGAGCTTGTCCTGGTGCCTCTGTGCATCCCAGGTTTCCAGGGGCTGCTGAGGACACACCCAAGCTGACCTGGTGATGCTTGGCCATTCTGGGGCAACTCTCCCAAGTGAAGGGCAAAATAAGGATTAAAAGGTGCCATGGCTGGCCAGTCAAGCCTGGAGCGCTCCCACACCCTCAGGGACCCCCTGCCAGAAAGCACAGCAGTGAGAGAAGGGACAGCAGGGAGCAGGAACAAAGGGATCAGATAGGGATAGCACCAGGCTGGGCCTCCCTCCCTGCAGGGCACAGCTGGCTCTGCCCTGGATTGCAGGAAATCCAAGTGTCCAGTGGTGCCCTTTGGTTCATTCATCTACAGCCAAGGCATTCCTTGAGGATACCTCCCGCAACATTCCATGGCTGAGCTGTGCAGCTCAGGGAGCAGGGCTGGGAAGGGCTCCTGGGATGGACAGGTGGGTCAGGGCTCACATCCAGCCACAGCCCAGCTCCGGTGCCGACGGTCCAACAGGGCCTTGTGTGTCACCAACAGCGTAAAAAATTTAAAAAGGAGCGCAGGTCCTCCTGTCAGGGCTGGAGCTGCCCCTGCCAGGGCTGGCTGTGCCACAGGGAACAGCAGCAGGACACTGCTGGG